TCCAGAAAATTTGACAATTTCTAACCTATAACAGATAAAAGCTTTTGAAATATATTACAATATTACAAACAAAAATGTTTGTCCGATGATTTTTGTTTTAATTAGAACTTGAACTTGTTCAAGCATATCATTACCTTTGTAAGTAATAATAAGTACATCTTTATTATGGTACTTATTTTCTATTCTACTTTAACCTAAAAAATATAAACATAATACTTAATAAATCAATCTAGTAGTACATTGTAGTCTTATTTAATATTTTTTTTAATAATCTATATAATTTCATTATCACGGACATAATGTGACAAAGTGGATTATTCATTCTCTGCCTTAGCGTTAATAATCAGCCATACGGGAACATTAACAATGACATATACATTGCCCCTTACTGACTACTAACACTATAATGAGATTACCACATATCAACAGTTAGTTTAAAATACTGTCAAATTAAGGTAAGGTAGAGCCGATGGTTAAAATGGAGACCAAGGATATAATGATGATAATTGTATAATTAATTTATCAGATTATAATTATCGATAGATATTTTCTCTGGAATTCCTCACTTATCACACATGTACATTAACTCAAAAAAATTAACTTTAAACTTAAAAAAATTAAATTTAAACAAAATTAAGGGATAACGTAAACAAAATCCATTTTTGAGGGCCTACTTAGTATACAGGGTGATTTTTTTATCATAACCCACTCAATTACTTACAGAATAAATATATTTAAACATTTTTTTTATTTTTTGTTATCTTTAGTTACACATTATTCTTGAATTATTAAATGGTTTTTTATGACATCAATATACGCAGGTACACAGCATTGGTGTTATCAATGGTAGTAAGGTGCATTGTTGTGAGTTCATAAATACACTAACTGACTATATAAAAAGTATTGATAGTAATAATTGATAATAAACAATTCGTGACTGTGACAACGATGTCATAAAAAACCAATTAGCTAACTGTATTTGTAATACCTTGTGTATTATACATGTATATTTACTCAAAAGTTTGAAACTTTAAATGTTTATAACTAATAAACGAATAAAGTTATATTAAAAATTCAAATACCATTTACTATTAAATTAAAAACTCAAACATTTTATTAAATTAAAAATATGTATTTCCATTAAAAAAAACAATAATTAATATTATCAATTATCAACCAAACCCAACCCCCTTACAAGGCATAAGGGATGATCTTAAAAAGTATTACATAGTTAATAATTCAAGAATAATGTGTAACTAAAGATAACAAAAAAAAAATGTTTAAATATATTTATTCTGTAAGTAATTGAGTGGGTTATGATAAAAATCATTCTGTATACTTGTACTATTATTATCGGTAATAATTTAAAATAGCTCTCATTTTATTTGTCATATATTTTCTTGTGATTAACAAATGCAAAATCTTATGGTAAGTAAGTTTTGACAATAAAATTTTAGTTTGTTGCTTTTTTACAAAAAAAAATCGTAACTGCCATTCTATATTAAATAAAGAATACATAAAAAAATAGAATTAACTGATAATTACCATAGGAGAAAGACATATTCTTTGACAATAATAATTAGCATATGTTTAATATATTATATGTAGTAGCGATGTACAGTGTAGATGGACTTTTAAATAAAATTGGACACTGATACTTTAGGGTGCGTCGAGAAACAACGTATTGTTTGTAATGTTTAATTAAAACCCATAAATTTGCTTTTAAAGTTTTGACTTTGCTTGGGATTAGTCACTAGAGCTCAATCCCCAGGCTTTTCGTTCCGAGAATCACAAGTTAATCGAGTGTTGGAGTATAATCTGTTTGTTATAATCCTTCAAGTCTATTATTATCAATTAGTAAAAAAAAAATTTTATTAAGCATATAAATAAAATTACACAATATAATAATAATAATAGAAAATATTGAATTTTTATTGATTATTAAAACACTAATCATTGATTTTGTGTTTTGTTTGGATGTTGAGAATCTGATAAATGAAATTATACCATCATCATTATATCCTTGGTCTCTATCTTAACCATTTTGGAACGGTTCTACCTTACAATAATTTGACAGGATTTTACGCCGGCTGGCCGACACGTGGTTACGTTGGTAGCAAGTAAGGAGTTCTGTATATGTATATATGTACATTAGGGTAACCGTTAATTATGAATTTTTTAAAATTGCATAGTGCCACCCCCTAGAATAGTACGAATACTCAAAAAAAACAATTGTGCAAAAATTGTTGATGATTGTCAAACTCTAAGGCGTGCCAAGAGGGTTAAAAATGATACCCTAAGGGTAGATTTTTAGTTTTTTTTTATCTATTTCAAAAACATTAACTATTAAGAAAAAGTTCATACAATTTTTTTTGTAGATATATTTTTCTATAATAAAGATATCTACAAAAATTTTCGAAAAATTGCTTTTTAACCTATCAAAATATGAAAGTGCAAATTTTTTATATTTACCATTGAAACTATTAACTTGATTTATTTTATAAACCGTTCACTGTAGAAAACAAATGTTCACACAAAAGTTGTTTTAAATTAAATTTTCTATATATTTTTTATTTAACATTTTTTTTTTACCATTTACTATTAATAAGGTATGTCGATTATTCTATGAAATTATACGGTTTTCTCAATATCTTCATAAATTTAAGAACCACAAAATTCGTTATGTTTATAGGCTTACAAAAAAGTTATTGTATATTATTTTTAAACGTTTTATTACATGTTTTTATCTGGTATACTCCAAAAGAAAAATGGAAAACTTTTTCTTTCATTATCAGGAAAACAATTAGTTGCAAGTTTACCAATAATTATGTCATATAATAATGTGAACAACTACTTAATGTACCTGAAATTTCATCAGGAGTGTCAAGCAGCAGCTTTCTTTGCAGTAATTGAAAAATGGAAGTTAATTGAAAAAGTAAAATAATCATGTTGTAATACAACAGTTTCTAATACAGGTAGACTTAAAGGTGCCTGCATATTATTGGAGCAAATGTTGGGGCATAATATTTTGTATTTACTGTGTAGATATCACATTTTTGAAATTGTATTTAAAAAAGTTTTTGAAATCAAATTTAATTTATCATTTACTTCAGATATTCCTATATTCAATAAATTTCAAAAGTCTTGGTAAAATTATTTAAATAAAATGGAAGATATTATAGTTTTAGAAAAATTAAGAATAATAAACGATAATATTTTGAAATTTAGTTTTGATCCAATACCAACCCGAGATGATAATAAGAAACTTTTAGAACTAGTCATAATATTTTTTGATGAAAAACCTCTGAATGCGATTTATTTTAGACTTCCTGGACCTATTTATCGTGCTCGTTGGATGGCTAAGGCTCTTAATTGTTTAAAAATATTTTTGTTTAGAGATCAGTTTGTATTATTAATCAAAGTATTTAATGATATTCGATTGTTGTGTAATTTTTTAAATAAGTGTATAAATTAAACAATGATTTAGTTCACCTAATACTTCATTAGCATCAAATTTAGATTTACAATTTATAAAAAGTATGATTGAAGATGAAACAATAGATATTTCTAAAGTAGTTTTAAAAGACCTGTCCGGTCACTCATAGTATATAATATCCGAAACAGCAGCATTGGCATTTTTTGATAATAATTTGTCTGAAGATACCAAAATTAAAATGGTGAATTCATTTAATAATCGCGTAGAAGCTCCATGTATGCACAAATGTGTAGTTTTAGGTTTAAATGGAATTTATGAATATAAAAATAAAAATATTGAAGACTTCACTTCAACGGAATCAAAAAAAACTTATGAAAGATTTGAAATTGATTTTTTTAGATCTAGATCTTTTGTAATGGAAAGACAACAATCAATATAGAAAAGAAAAAGAAATTGTAAATAATTTAAAAGTCGTAAATGATTTGGCAGAGAGTGGTGTGAAGCTCATCGAAGAATATAATAGTATTTTAACAAACAATGAAGCACAAAAACAATATCTACTACAGATTGTTACAGAATATCGGTGTTGTTTTCCTAATTACAATAAAAGTAATTTATGTCAAGACTTCTAAAAATAAGAATTTTTTTAATTTCTAGTTTAATTTTTTATACGTTTTTTTATTTGTAAAGTAGTTTTTAGTATTTTATTAGTATGTAATTCTGAATATTTTATTTTAATTAATTTTACAAATTATTCAATGTACCTTGTGAATAGTAAATGGTAAAAAAAAAATGTTAGATTAAAAATATATAGAAAATTTAATTTAAAACAACTTTTGTGTGAACATTTTTTTTTTTACAGTGAACAGTTTATAAAATAAAGCAAGTTAATAGTTAATAGTTTCAATGGTAAATATAAAATATTTGCATTTTCATTTTTTGTTAGACTAAATAACAATTTTTCAAAAATTTTGTACATATCTTTATTACAGAAAAATATTATATCTATAAAAGAGTTTTTATGAACTTTTTCATAAAAGTTAATGTTTTTGAAATAGACAAAAAAAAACCAAAAATCTACCCTTAAGGTATTATTTTTAACACTCTTGGGGCACGTCTTAGAGTATGACAATCATCGCCAATTTTTGCACAATTATTTCTTTTGGATATTCGAACAATTTTAGTGAATGGCACTTCTAAATATTATTTTAAAAAAACCTACCAATGTACCTTACGGTAACCCTAATGTACATATATATAATTTAAAAGATCATTCAAATGTTACACATTTAAAGAAAACTGAATTTAAAATTAAATATAAGGTATAACAATAAATCTTTTGATGCATAAAATGTATATAGTTCGTATATATTACATATACATGCAAAGTTATTTAACATCACAGTTTAAAATATTTTCTCAATAATATATATTGACTTTCATATAAAATAAATATTTATCAAAGCTTAACTTAGAAAATAATTTTTAAAATTTCATATTTCAACTTATATAAATTTTTTATTTTATTTATAGAAATTATTCTTTAAAAATGTTCACCATAATTTTCCACAATTTATAAATAGTAAAAAATCGTAAGGAAAAGAAATAATGAAGAAGTATAAAACAGAGACAAACTTTATATTTTATCTGTGGCTTTCGTTTTAGTTGATGAGTTGAGTCAAGAATTCCACTTTACGTATATTCGTAACTTTATTATACTTTCGGTAGATTGTTTATTTTGATCGATTTGAAAAAGTTACTTAAGTGACTTCGCTTAACATTGAAATTTTATCTATAATCTCAAAGAATATTTTATCATGTACCTATGTAAGTTATGCTTAAAATATTGAAAAGTTATGTTACAGTGTTTTATTAAATTACAATAATTTCATTAAAAACCATACACAAAAAATATTGAAGTTGTTTTATCTACAACCAATAATATTAGATAGCTACGGAATAAATTGAGTCTTTTTGAATTTACATCAAATCGGACCGCTGAATTGAATACATTATGTTGATACATTTCAAAATAAGAAATATAAAAATTATAATAAAAATATCAAGTTTCTTGATTTAAAATCTTAAGAGTTTAGATTAATTTGATTCCAATTTTAAATACAACAAATATTCTCAAAACGATACAGTCACAATACGTTATAAACTAGTATTGTTTTAATCACGTAAATATAACTAAAATCAACTTAACACTAATCTAAGGTAAAATCTACGTACAATTATGTATGAGATTACAACTGCACTAAAATAACTGTCTATTTTTTTGCGTACTTAAGAGTAATCTCTAAATGTAATTGAATTAAGAAATAAATTTCCTCAAATTAATTAGAAAGTATCATTTTTTTAAAATAAAAAGTAAAGTAAATGAAACATAGATTTTAACTAACCAATTTTACAGAAACAGTAAAATTTTTTGAATTTTAGTTTGATAATTTTTTTAATGCGTATTACCTTAAAAATTAAATTTAAAATAAGCCAAGAAATACTGCATTTATCAGTCATTAAAGCAAAAAATCATACATTATTTTAGAAAAATGACTGATTTTATAGTGTTTAGCATAGCAACGGATCGTCTTCATCATTTAAAACTAAATCAAATTTAAGGATTTTTTGTATACTATACGATTGAAAAAGAAAATATGTTCTTCGATTCGTTCTCTATGAATAATCGGTCTCTTAAGTCAATATCATGTAATTTTTGGTAAATATGATGCATTGTTTTAAATTTGTGTTAAATACGCATGAAAGCTTTTTACGACAGTTATTTTGATCATTGTCTGATATCAACCAATACTAAACTAAAAAAATGCCTCTAGTCTATTTCACTGGATTCTGAATGTAATTAATTTTTTAATCATAGATAATGTTTTTAAAACTTGTCAATGTTATTGATCAGTTTTTTCAAAAAATACACCGCATATTTGTAGGAACTCCACAACAGACTAAACAAAATAAAATAATGTATAACATCCATTTCCTTATCTTGTATTACTAGTGATATAATTATTTATAACTATTTTATTTAAAAATATACTAGACACAATTATCTAACTTTTATGGCTTTATTATGTATACAAATTCAATTATTATACAAAGAATACCATAATATATTTTTGCTTATCGATTTATCTAAAAATGACAGGAATATTAATTAAAGTTATAAACATTTGAATATATTACCATAACACATTTGTGGTTTATGGTTTTATTATAAAGTATTATATAAAACTGTACAAAAAATGATAAAAGACTTTGAAAAAGATCAATAACTTCTATGTACTGCTTATCATTTCATTACTTGTACATTAATAAAATATCTAGATATTTATTAAGGTCCAGACAATAAATACCATCTTATATGACTATTGATAACCATTTTTAAAATCATCTAGATAAAAGATAGTACTATTATTAACTGGATAAAAATCGTAATGATTATCTAGATTTTCACAACAATGAAAATAACACCACAGTAATGAGCAATAAATTGCTCTTAGCTCACTTGTAATAATATCGAATCATATAATTAACAAAATATACAATGTGGCACAAGGTGTAAAAATAAAAGATATACTAAATTAAAATGTCGATAATTTAATTATGTAAGAACAAGACTAAGAGTATACAATTTATTTTACGTATAATTAAAATACAGGAATTACATTTTGTATAATAACTGTGTTTATTTTACAGCGTTTGTTTAAACATTGAAGACATTAAAACATTGGAATGCAAATTTTAAAGAGCTTGATTTAAATTTAAAGTATAAAAAAAATTAGTATAATTTGACGTGAATCTTAAAAATTAATTATAAAACATCATCAAAAAGAATTAAAACAATTTTTTTTCACTTACAGGTTATTGCTCAATAAAGTAACAAATTATATACCTTATAATGGTAGAGTGTTCTTTTTAACTACAACTTATAATTTTTTTATATACTGACATTTTTAAATATTATATGAATGTATTATGAATCATTATTTTTAGTTACGTTCTTATAAAATATAAAATATTTTCTTAATGAAAAAGTTTTAATACAAATGTATGCAATGGACTAAATTCAAATTTTCAAGTTTAAGTTTTCAATGCTCAATGCTTTTTATAGTAAAAAAGTTAAATTTTTGAATATTAAATTAATATATTAAACGATTGTTATTTTTATTTTAGTCGTATATATAAAATTATATCAATTGTTCAAGGGCTATACTTTTCAGTAACTGATTAAAGAAGATAAAATAAGAATTAAGACACCATTTAATACTGAATATTTAAAGATGAATCAAGCAATAAACTAGCCAAATCATCTAAACTTCAGAAACAATTTTGTTGGTGTACGAAGAACCAATATATAGATCTTATATTATATCAATAGTTTTTTTTTAGTAAGAATAATATAAAAAATGACACATTCCAAGCACGTACTTATGGAAGTTTATGTACGATTTAGTTTTTAGGCCTTTTGCAAACTCACAAAATCGATTATCTACTGATATACAATAAATATCTCATTGCAATCACAAAATTAGTGTACATGATATATAACAAACGTAGGGTAGAATAAAATTTTCTCCCTCTAATCATAATTGTTGTTTAAAAACGTGATTTTTCTACATTTTTAATCTATTATTGATAAGGACTCATTTTATTTAAACAAAAGTATAGATTTTGACTTATATACGACACAAAAATACGTTATTCTTTTATTTTTGATTTCATTTAAATTTTAAATAAATGTTAAATTAATAAATAAATCTCTTAAAGAATGAATTTCTATAAGTATGTTTTATGAAAGGTGAATTTTTTTACAGATGGTAAATAATAAAACTATTAATAAGGTATATACTCAAAGACATGATTATAAATGATCCGTTTTAATAAACCTTATAAAATCCTACTAATATTTTCAACAATAATGCATTTTTTAGAAAAATAAAATATAAAGGGTTGTGTTTGATAAATAATTTTCCTCGTTACTTTGTATATTTTTCCTAAATGACGTGATATAAATTTAAATAAGCAATATGAAAAATCAATCTAAAAATCAAAAATATTACAATAATAATTTTTAAATCAATATGAAATCAAAATAATATGTTTAAATTCAAATCAAACCAATTTATAAAAAAAAATTCTCAACAAAATAATTTAGCTATCACATCATAAAGTTTGAAATGAAACCAATTTTTTATTTTTCAACTATTTTGAGTGGTATTCAATTCGAAATTGGTTTAAATCTAATTAGTCTCCCGACAATCTCTTTATGCGTTACTAATACTTTATATACAACTAATATCCTTAGTCCTTTACCTTTATCACTACACTTTTGAGCTGTAAGTAAATGATTTTAAACAACTGCTACGTAAATATACCTTGAATGCACTTTAAATATTTGTTGTGTTATTATCTTATACCCAATTAAAAAAAAACTTTTCAACTAATAATTGTTTTATAGGTCGAAAAAATTTTAATTTTTTGGAAGAATTACAAAATCCGATTTATAATTAAATTGTCATCGGATAAGAAAAGATATCATTACATAGATTTACTACATTAATATAATAAATAAATACTACCTAATATCTCGCGATACCGTTAGATTAAAATTTCACGACAATTAAATTACAAGGTATAACAAAATTAATAAAAACAAGTGAATATCTTATGATATCAAAGCTTTGTTAAATTTAAATAAATATGTCTAACATGTTATTACCTTTTAAGCTTCTATAAATTGAACTAAGAATTTTTAAACTATATACCAGCTACTATTAATTTATATAATTACACATAATGTCGAAATTAATAAAGTCATCAATAAATAAATCTTAAGATAATAACATACTTATAAAACGAAGAAAAAAATCATTAACTTAATGAATATAGCACAAAAAAACCATTTGAAAACGAATATATTTGAATTTTGAAAAATATACACGACATAAGGATCATTTGCCGACTTTAAAGAGAGATGGTGGCGACAGACTGCCGACGGTCCAGCAGTGCGATACTGATGTGCTCGCTAAGCCATACATTTTAAAAGGGGCGACCTCTATCTGGTTTTAAATGGATCGACTGTGTAAAACCTATGATACTTCAAAAATCCAACAATAAATTTTATTTAGTTAATTAAGTTCTGTTATTATAAATGTATATTATATAAATATTAGAATAACCCTTTTTTATTAAAATGCATTTAATTTAATTTAACGTTTAGTAGATAAACCAATTTGATGTAAAATTGTTAGCTTTGATTAAGTTTAAATTTTATACACAAAACTAAGTACCACAATTAGATCACTTATACGAGTAAACAAAAGGAATCAGTTATTATTCGCCTTGATACTAGAGATAAAAAATCAGGAATTTTTGGATAATCAATTATATAGGATACAAATGAAATTATTAATTTTTGAAAAATAAATTCTTATTATATTTTTTAGTTCTCGATACAAATATATTCAGAATTATATAATAATTTATCATTTAACTTAAAAAAGTTATTAATGTTAACCTAATTAGAAGTATTTTATACCAGGAGGCTCCCTTAAGAAAACGTATTATGTTATAAAATTGTATAATTATATTACACAAGTGAGAATGGTATTATTAGGTATAGAAATGATTAGTTTTTAAATTATTTATTCTTGAGAATTTATTATTAATTATGACAACATTTAGATTTAAAAATCTAATTTAATCAAAAATTTATTTGTTTTGAAAAACAAAAAAATAATTATGGAGAGCAGGGCAAGTTGACGCTTAGGATAAAATGATATTCATGAATTAAAAATAATATTAATCATATTTACGAAATTGTTATGGAAATGTTTTTGAATATATTAATCAAACAATGACGAATTCAACAAAAATAATATAAATTAACACGTTTGTTTATTTTAGTTCGCACTTATACTTTTTTGTAAGAACGATGCAATAATATTGTTTTACGGAGTAAGGTTGTAACTTGAGCGTGAGTAAATAAAAATTATTTTCATTTAAATTATGAATAATAAGTATTTAAATTATAATTCTTATTCAAATTTGTCTAGTATAGAGTTTGGGTTTGGGAAAAGTTGACTTTCTTTTTTAATTAGTTAATAATACTTAAAAAAAATTAATGGGCTTTTTAACAATTAATCTTAACATCAAGTTGTATTTCTACTAAATTTAAAGTTTTTATGGTGAATACATTCTTTAAGAGATTCAATTAAAGCTTAAGGGTGTCAATAGCCCCACTCATTCCTACATAACTTTTTAAGTGTATTCATAAACGGTGAAGCCAAAATAAGCGAAAACTGCTGCCCTTAAACAAAATTCTGAGATTACCTGTAGGTAAATTGATAACTATCAATTTGTCCTCTTAATTAAATTTAACTAAAGCAGTATAGCTTATTAAAAAAAATAAAATAATAATTCTAATTTGAAAACTAATAATTCCATACATTTTGGTTCTAACAGTTGATTTACAAAGGATTCTTTATAATTTTTAAAAATAAAAAATAAAATTTTACCAAAGTTGACACTAATCTATATACTTATTAATTTTTATACATTTAATTTTTAGCTTTAATGCGAAACTGAAAAGAAATTGGTTTTATTATAGTACACAAAAATCACATAAATCTATTAGTTTTTTTTATCTATCGCGAATTTTTCTCAGTACTTACTGAACCGATTTTACAAAGATCACAATTTTTTTCTAATTAAAACATAACTATCTAAATTCAAAAAACACATCATAGTAAAATTAATACCTTCTCAGCTTCGCATCAAAGCTAAAATATGTCCCTCGTTGCCCGAAAATTTTAATTTTTTTTACTTAAAATTATTCTTTATTTTTCTGAATTGAATAAATCAAAATAAAAAAGTTTTTGTTAGTACCTTGAATATGTTTCTTTCATTCATCATACTTTTTTGAAAATTCGTCAATTTTTCTACTTAAAAGGGTATAAAATGGTGGGAGATTTATTCTCGTTATTTATAAAAATAGTATCCATCCATTAAATAAGAAATTTAATTATATTTAAAGGATTTTTCAAATATTAGGTTCATTCAAAAGACTATTAAAAAGTGATTTTAGAGGTCTACTATTAACTTAAAAAATGTTCTAGCTACCAATGACTTATGATAAATTCAATTTCAATCATACCTAAATTATGATTTATTTCTTTCATTAATTACATATTTTACTTTCTTTTATATAAAAATATTGCCAGCGCTCGCTATTAACTTAAAATATTATCATCCGCCAAAAACCTTCAATCATAACAAAATTTTGAGTTTTAGAAATTGAAAATTTATGACAATACAGCTGAACAATTTTAATATATTAAAATAAATGTGACCAATTCTAAAATTAGAATTTGTTGAAACGGCTTTAACAAATTTTAAAAACCATTTGTAAATATCTAAAAAATAATATTTTTTATTTAAAAAGTAAATGATAATTTGTCAAGGATTCTTCGGTATTATAGAAATATAATTACAAAAAAATGAGGGACTGAGTTTACTTTTAGCTAGATCACAAAAAGTTTATTAATCTAGCAGTACATTTACAAAATATATCTCTTTAACGCTACAGTTCTTTAGGGATAGATAAATTAATAAAAAAATTTACAGATGCGGGCTTTATTCGAGAATTTTGAATTTACTTACTTTTTTATACTATTGGGTAGGTATACACCTACCTACAAAAAACTCAATGAAAAAAGTTTTTACTTTAACATTGTTCTTTCGTTGAAAAACTATCACTGCACAAGTAATGTTTGTTGACCCATAATGTAGCTTTATTGTTGTTGTGAGTTCTTAGAATTTTTACTAAAACTTCCATCCTTTTATTTTTCACGAGAAAAAGCATTTCTATGTAGTTCTGTTTGCTTTATAAATTAATTCACACTATTAAAACGATTTTATAGCACTTGAAAGATAAACTAAATTTAACAGACTAGAACCCCATACTAAAATCTATTAATATTTATACTTATAAATTTGATTTTTTTACAAACTGACCAATAGTATTTTTAAATTTAAGTATTTCAACGATCTTATATAATTTATATTATTCCAAATGTCATAATTTAAAAATAACGAATTAAGGACAGATTCTTCTCGAGAAATAGGGCTAATATCACGTACTGTAAAATATTTCATTATTATTATCAAACGGCAACTTTAAAAATTATAATTTTATTCTATTTATATATTAATTACAAATCTTTGAAAAGATGAACCAATAAGTATGTTTTTATTTTAATCTCAGAACACGCTTAAAAAGCTATCTCTTTAAATATGATTTATAATTAAAAAAACAAAAATTAACTACTTCTAAAAAGTAATTTTTTTCTCGCTTAAAATAGTTTGTAATAATTTAAATTCATATTTTCTAATCACATTATTTATTAATTGTACATTATAACCCTGGTAAAATCAATTAACATATCATTTAAATTCTAAAATATCAAAATGGCTGAAAATTCGAGTGTTAGATAAGGAAAAAAATTTTCCCCTTTTCTTAAATAAACATGAATACATGTAATATTTCTGTTCAAGGACTGAATTTTTTTTGATTTTTGGCAATTTTTCTTATATTTAGTAAATTATTTTATCTAATCGACTTTTATTAGTAGACATTGAAAAAAAAAAGATTAGAGAAACCAAAATTATTGTTAATCCGCCTTTGAAACCTCAATTCAACTTGAACTTTATAAATTTAGGTTTAACTAAGGTTTTAAAAGCAATTTCATATTATGTGTACATTTAATTACATATAATTAATAATTATCTAATGTAATAAGTAAAATAATACTAAATTACTTACAATTATATCATTGCTCAAATATTCAACTTATTTTAAATCTAGTCTATCATAAAATAACGACAACCATTATAATTCTTTTTTAACCAAGCAATTTTATATAATAAATATAAAGAAAGGTGGTCACACTGTCGATGATTACAAAATTTGATAAGCATGTAAAATGGCTGTCTCATAGATTCCTTGGCTCAAAGCCGCTGTCATCAAACTGTTCAAATTTGGAATATTGTCGTTTCAATATTCCACATTAACATTTAACGGTAAACATATTTTTAAAGTAATATAAGACGCATTTTCCCTAAATTAATTGGTTTGTGATATGACAAATTGTGTCATAATAAACCATAAAATTTAACTAATATTTTCCTTGATGTGTAAATAATTTGGATTTTAAGAAGCAACACTTTTTAATAATTTAAACTGTTATTACTATTATACAAATAATGTAGTCTCAATAATTTTTGTAGGTTAATTTCATTATTATTATTATAATTTATTCACTCTATCGTTTTATTGTAAATTTAACTATTTTGGTTAAGAACTGATAAGAATTTTTCGCGTCCTTCTAGATTTATTTTATATTGATATAACGTTTTAGTAATTTCCTACTTTATTACTATATATCTTTTAAATTATTACTTTGTTTTTATAATTTAATGGTTAATACGGATTTTGTTTATTTTCAGGAATTTTCTGATTATCATAATTTATACTTTAGATTATAAAAAATGTCACAATTTTTGGATTCTGAAGCAGAAGAAAGTGAAGTTAGTGTATATACTTACTATCGAGAATTACTAGATTAATATGAATTAAGTATTAATAAATAATAAAGATTAAAATTATAACTTTTATGATTCCATTTTTAAGCTCAATTTTATATAATATATTTCTTATTACTTCATTTTAAAAGTTTTTTAAGTGTATATTGTTGTATTAATAATAATATAACTTATGTATTATATTTGTTAAGGATGAAGAGTTGGATGAGATTGATAAGAAAAAAGCAAAACGAATCAAAGCAATGGAAAGTGACGATGATGATGATGATGAAGGTTTAATTTTATAATTATTAAAACAAAATTTGTAACAATATTAAAGTTAAATTAATTTTATTATTCCATTAGATTCTAAATAAATATCTATAGGAATTTAAAGGTCGGATATGTAAATTAATTTTTGAACTTAAAACTAAATTAAACCCCTTAAAAAAAGTAATCAATTTAGTAAAAATACTAAATTTAGCTATTTAATTAATATAAATTGCATACATATTTAACTTAAATAGTTGAGTTGCTTAGACAATAAATTTAAACTTTTTTTGGATAATAAAACAGTAATTGCTAAACTAATCTAAGTTAAATAGTATAATGTATTCAAATAACAAATCATTAAATCATGCTAATAATTTAAGTGAATTATTTTTTTTACTAAATTTTATTCAAACTATAAAATATTGTATTGAACAAATTAAAGTAATAATATTGCAAAAAATTTTAAATGGTTTAAATTAATATTTATTTCATTTTGTCATTTAATATTTAAATTTAATCAGATTCTTTTCATTTAATTATTTTTGAAATATTAGAATAATGTAGAAAAATTATATTAAATAAAATATCGACTATTTTATTTAATAATGTGAAGAGTACTCAATGATGACAAATCACTGCGCAAATCTGAAGTAGTGTACTATGTTTCCAAACTTAAAATGTTTGTTGAGGCATATAGTATATTATGTATGTCTTGATTGGAAACTGAGAGTACATACTATTAAAACATACAAAATTTGTATAGTAAATAAATTAATTAAAAATATTTTCAACTTTTTAGATGATGAAGAGAGAATCCGCGAAGAGCTTAAAGATTTAATTGATGATAATCCTATTGAAGAAAGTGATGGCTCAGGTGATGAATCAGATGGTTCTAAAAAAAGAAAAAAATCAGATGATGATTTTGATGATAGACTTGAAGAAGATGATTATGATCTTATAGAAGAAAATCTTGGTGTGAAAGTTGAACGTAGAGTAAGTTATTATTTGTTTTTTTAATGGTTATAATCTTGAATTTATTAATTTTTGTTTTTATTTAGAAGCGATTTAAGCGATTAAGACGTTTAGAAGATGAAGAAAGTGATGATGAAGGACATGGTGAAAATCCAGCTGAAGATCGTGAAGCTATTGCAAATCAGTTGTTTGATACGTCTGATAATGTTAGTTCAAATTTAATACTAATAATTATTGCATTTTTTTTTTTTTTTTTTATTAACTTTAACTATTGTTTATAATTTTAGGAAGATGATAGAGGTTCAGAGAGAGTTTCTTCAAGAGCTGAACGAGCTGACAATTACAATATTGAAGGTGATGATGATGGCGAAGAGTATTCTGATGAAGATGATGATGGTTTTATAGTAGATGATGAAGGTAGACCGATAAAAGAAAAGAAAAAGAAACGCAAGCATATTTATCATGATGCAGCACTTCAAGAAGCACAAGATATTTTTGGTGTAGACTTTGATTATGATGAATTTGAAAAATATGATGATGAGTATGAAGAAGATGCATCTGATGATGATTACTTAGAAGATGAAGAAGATGGAGAAAGAAGACAAAGACCTAAAACCCAAAAACGTAGAAAAGCAACTAGAAAATCAATTTTTGAAATTTATGAGCCAATAGAACTCAAAAGAGGACACTTCACTGATTTGGATAATCAAGTCAGTCAATGTGTAATAATTAGTTCATTATTTAATTTTACAACTTATATATTTTTAGATTCGTAACAATGACATACCAGAGAGAATGCAATTACGTGAAATACCAGTAATCCCAGTGCCAGAGGGTTCAGATGAGTTAGATGATGAGGCAGAATGGATATATAAGCAAGCATTTTGTAAACCTACCCTAACTACCCAAGTATATTGTTTATTTTGTTTTAAAATGTTAGGTGATAAATATTAATATTCAGGTTCAATTTAGTTATTTAAATTCCTTTACTTTTCTTCTTAAATTTATTGTTTTATATAAATTACTGGTAGCTAATTTATGTTTTTTAATTTAGGAATTCAAAGGTGGTGTTGATCCACGACATCAATCTAAAAAAGGGCCACAAACAATTGGAAAAATTAAAAAAGCATTAGATTTTATGAGAAATCAAAATTTTGAAGTGCCATTTTTAGCTTATTACCGAAAAGAATATGTTGAACCAGAGTTGGATATTAATGGCTTATGGAGAGTTTATCATTTTGATGCAAAAGTAATAAAATATATTTTTAAATATTCATCTTTTTACATATTTATTTTTTTTTATTAGTGGTGTCAGCTAAAATCTCGAAAAAGTATGCTCATAGAGCTCATGCAAAAAATGCAGAACTATCAGATGGAAAGAATAAAAGTTGATACAAATGCTCCTATACCTGATCATATACGTATTATCAAAGATGATGATATAGATAAGTTACGTGCTGTGCAAACAAATGAAGAATTAAAAGATATTCAAGGACATTTTATGTTATATTATGCTAGTGACGTACCTGCTATGCAGGAATATGCAAGAAAACAAGCTAGAGATAAACGAAAGAGAGAGAGAGAATTGAGAGAAGAAAAGAGAAAGTTAACTTTAGAAGCTGGTGAAGATATTCCTGAAGACTTAGAAGAACCTAATGATATAGATAATGAAAATGATAATGCTGAAACTGTAAAACCCGCAAGCAGTTCTGGACCATACTACATGTGTCTTAAAGCTGGATTAGGTAATTATTTTATCAATTAATTTTTTATTATATATATACATATTTTTTAAAATTAATTTTCAGCTGGTTTTGCTAAACGTTTTGGCTTAAAACCAGAACATTTTGCTGTAAACGTTAGAGATAACTATCAAAGACATGAAGTAGATCAAGAGTCTGTTGATCCATATAAACTTGCTGGTGAATACTGTAATGAGTGAGTTAAATTTATATTAAAATTTTATTAAATATCCCATGTGCTATCAGGAATGAAGAACTATTGTTTTCATTTATTTATTTGTAAAGAATAATATACTTAAACATAATTTTTAAAACAATTTTATTTTTAAATAAAGGAAAAAACATCTTAGTTTAAAATAAAAGACTATATTTTTCTCACTGTAGGATAAATGTTGTTTCAATTTATATTCTTAATATTGTCATTTATTTTTTTTTTTTAGTAATGTTTTATAATTATTTTTATATTTTAGACTTTTAAAAACTTCTGAAGAAGTTTTAAAAGCTGCTAAATATATGGTAGCATGTCAAATCTCAAGAGAACCTTTAATCAGAAAATGCTTAAGGGAAACATTTTTTGACCGTGCTAAAATGAATATTGTTCCAACTAAAAGAGGCATGAAAGAAATTGATGAAAATCATAACTGTTATTCGTAAGGAATTAATTCACTATTGCAATTTTTATATATATATATTAAGATTATTCATTACTTAGAATGAAATATATACGACGTAAACCTGTAAGAGATCTTGTAAAAGAAGATTTTTTGAAATTGCAAATAGCTGAAGATGATAAACTACTTACTATTGCTTTTGATGAAGAAGTTGATGGCTTAGGTTCACTTCCTTACATTGAAGAAGTTAAACAACTATATATTAGAGTATGTGTTACCATTATTTTTTTTATAACTATAGTTGTAATTATATTGATTATATTTATTTTTTGTAGGATGAATTCAGCTCCAATGTACAACAATGGAATGACTTGCGTCGTGAATGTGTGGATATAGCATATAGAAAATTGCTTATGCCAGAAATGGTAAAAGAACTTAAGCGTAATTTATTAGCAGAAGCAAAGGAATATATTCTCAAATCTTGCAAGACAAAATTATCAAATTGGCTATCTGTATGTTAATTTATTATTATTATATTTATGTTTATGTCATCTCTTATAATATATTGCTTGTGCCAAAGAAGACAGAAAAACCTGTATGGCCCAGCGCAACAGAATGAAACCTTGGTACCTATGTACTGAGGCACGAGACATTATCGACTGAGGCCACCTATTAATTTATCCCTATATTATACATTTACTATTGAGTTAAAGCTATTGTTGTTTTTAAATTTAATTTCTATTCATACAGGTAGCTCCATTTAAAGCTGAAGTAGATGAAGATGATGATGATTGGGATACTACTAAAGGTATTAGAGTTATGGGACTGGCATATTCTCCTGACCATGAACAAGCATCATTCGCTTGTATTTTGTCTACTGATGGTGATGTAGTAGATCATTTACGTTTACCCTACATAATGAAAAGACCATTTAATGATGATGTCAAAGTTAAAAGAGATTCAGATTTTAATCATATTAGAAACTTTTTACTAGCTAAAAGGCCACATGTAATTGTTGTTGGTGGAGAATCTAGAGATGCTTTATGGTTAGTTAGAGATATTAAAGCAGTAATTGATCAATTAGTAATTGATGAACAATTTCCTCAAATTCATGTTGAAATTTTGGATAATCATTTGGCTAGAATTTATGCCAATTCTATTAAAGGAGAGGTAATTTTTTTTACATTGCATATATATTATTTAAATTGTTAGGTACCACTCTTCTGTTAAACCTAATATGATAAGAAATTTTATTTGATTTAGAGCCTAAATATACTTTATATTGGTAGAATCAAACATTTTTTTAAATTGTGAATTATTTTTTAATATTTTCCAAACTTAAAACTGATACATAACAAATTTTTAATTGACAATTTTATTTGATAATTAAAAATTAATTTTAGTTTTACTTTTATTGTATTTTATTATTAACTCTTGTTATTTTGTGTCGCATCAATATTAAAATACATTTTTTTTAACACGCTTATATTAGTTTCACCTGTATGTATGTTTGTAACTCTCCAAGCGCCACGCATTATCGCATATTCCGTCGTCTATGGCCTTGAGACCAGACTGTCATAACGCATTCACCCCACCACACAACGGCAACACTATTCCTGTATAAATTTATTTTTGGTTATCGTACCCGTACACGCGTGCTCGTCATCAATATTATATATGTATAAACAAATTTTTATTTTGACTGACCAATATCATACGTATATATTCCTACCGCCGTTTATATCTCAGGTATAATGTTAGTCCGACCTGCCTGCCCACAAAACACGACTGTACCTAGTGCATGATACTTAAGTCGCTTTACTTGTATATATATATATATATATATATTCTAATCACTATTAAAATTTATATATTAACACGCTTTATTCTAATTAAGAGATATAAAGTGTATTCATTCTGTTTATGGGGGATGATTTCCGTATCGTCATTTTTCGTCTCTACCTCCACGTTCCGGGAGTGAGTAATTTGTGCGCCTGCTGCTTTCCTTGGATGTAGTAGCCGTTTCTCAGACTCCCTCTCCGGAATCAAACTCTGATTTCCCGTTACCCGTAACAACCAAAATATTGATAGTAACTACTATCATAACATGAAACTAAAAAGTGAAAAATAAATACAGTTTAAAAAAACTAAAAAAACACGCTTTTAAAGTACATCAAACTAAAAAGTTAAAAATTATTTTAATTTTTATTTTAAGTATTTATTTTAATCTTTAGTAAGTCATTATAGTAGAAAATAATAAAATTTGTTTATAAATCAACCATGTGTCTCTTAATAATATATTATATATAATAATTTTTTTTTTTTTTTTGTTAGAGTGAGTTCAGAGATTATCCACAGCTCTTGCGAGAAGCTATATCTTTAGGCAGAAGAATGCAAGATCCATTAGTTGAATTCTCTCAACTATGTACAACAGATGATGAAATATTATGCCTTCGTTATCATCAATATCAAGTATGTCTATCAATTAACCTTAATTTTGATATTATGAAAGTTTATAAGCATTTAAACACATAAAATATAAACAAATAATTTATACATTTTATTTTTATCAATAAATTGTTTGTAAATTTAAAAGGATGTTTCCAAAAAAAAAAAAATTGTTCTTGCTCTTCTTGAAAAATTATTTTAGTATCAAATAAAGTAAAATAAACTAAAAATAATTGTTGGAACGTATTTTATAACTAAAATAATCAAATGTTTAATATGCTAATTCAAATAAAAATAATTTGACCATTTATATATCATTCTACTACTAATAAACCTTTTATAGGAATTATTAAACCAAGAAGAATTACTTGAAGGGTTACATCAAGAATTCATAAATCGTACTAATGAAGTAGGTGTTGATATAAATGATGTTGTTCAACGTGTATATGCTCCCAACTTAATGCAATTTGTTTGTGGGTTGGGACCACGTAAAGCAACTGCACTAATAAAATTAATGAAACAAACAAATCAAAGACTTGAAAATCGAACGCAATTAGTAACTTCGTGCCACATGGGTCCTAAAATTTTCATAAATTGTGCTGGTTTTATTAAAATTGACACCAACTCATTGGGTGATAGTACAGAAGCATATGTAGAAGTTTTAGATGGCTCTAGAGTACATCCAGAAACATATGAATGGGCTAGAAAAATGGCTGTAGATGCTTTGGAGTATGATGATGAGGAAACTAATCCATCTGGTGCATTAGAAGAAATTTTAGATGCACCTGAAAGACTTAAAGATTTAGATTTAGATGCATTTGCTGAAGAACTTGAAAGACAGGTATATTTATAACTTAAAATTAATCTTAAACGCATTGGTTAATTTGATATTCTATTACATAGGGTTTTGGCAATAAAAGTATAACATTATATGATATTCGACAAGAATTGAATCATCGATATAAAGATCTAAGAATACCATACAAACCTCCTAATGCTACCCAGATTTTTGAACTTCTTACTAAAGAAACTCAAGAAACATTTTATGTAGGAAAAATGATATTAGCAACAGTCACTGGAATTGCACGAAGAAAACCACAAAATGAGCAACTAGATAAAGCAAATCCTGTAAGGAATGATGAAACTGGTTTGTGGCAATGTCCATTTTGCTTTAAAAACGATTTTCTTGAATTATCTGATGTAAGTTAAACATATATAAAGTGTAATTTAATTGTTATTAATAATAAAAGCTACTAAAAGAAAAAATTATTAATATTTTCATGGTATGTAATAGGTATGGAATCATTTTGATGCTGGTGGATGTCCAGGGCAAGCATCAGGTATTCGTATAAGACTGGATAATGGTATAAGTGGTTTTATAGCTATGAAGAATTTATCAAACACACATGTGGCCAATCCTGAAGATAGAGTTCGCTTTAATCAAGCTATACATTGTCGTGTCATTAAGATTGAACCTGAGAGATTTTCATTTGAAGCTACTTCTAAAAGTTCAGACTTAAAAGACGAAGAACATAATTGGCGGCCTCAAAAAGATCCTTATTATGATCATGAAACAGAATCGAAGTTAAAAAAAAGTGAAATAGATAAAAATAAGTTGAAAAATGCTCAAACTTACATCAAACGTGTTATTGTCCATCCTTGTTTCCATAATGTTTCATTTGCTGAAGCAGTTAAATTACTTCATAACTCTGATCAAGGAGACGCTATTATTAGACCTTCGAGTAAAGGTGCTGATCACCTAACTGTTACTTGGAAGGTAGCTGACAATGTTTACCAACATATTGATGTACAAGAAAAAGGAAAAGTTAATGCTTTTTCTTTGGGGCGTTCACTTTGGATTGGTACTGAAGAATTTGAAGACCTTGATGAAATTATTGCTCGTCATATTACCCCAATGGCGGCTAATGCTAGAGAACTATTAAGATTTAGGTATTATAGAGATACAGATGGTGGTAATATTGAAAAAGCAGAACAAATTTTAAGAGAAGAGCGAAATAATAACCCATCAAAAATTCATTACATAGTCTCTGTTTCTCAAGTTAGTGTAATTTTTTTCATTATTATTTTTCTTTAAATAATTAAAATATAAGGTAAAAAAAAAATGTTATATACTAATTACTGATTTTTATATTTAGAAATATGCAGGAAAGTTCTTACTATCTTGTTTACCAACACGAAGATCAAAACATGAATATATCACAGTCACTCCAGAAGGTTATCGTTTTCGAAGTCAAAATTTTGATTCAATTGGATCATTATTCCGTTGGTATAAAGAACATTTCCGAGATGCTACACCTCATGTTACTCCGATGTCTGCTAGATCATCAGGTCAACCTTACCGTCCATCTCCTAACTTAGGTTAGCAAAATAATTTATCAGTTATTAATTTTGAAACCTTTTAACTCAAATTTAATTGTTATAAATTTAAATATTAAATATTATAACAATTAAACTCTAACATTTAAATAAGATACAGTGGGAAAAGTGTGTACGAGTTTTTTTTTTTTACTTAAATGGTCATTAAATAATTTGTGTACTATTCCGTTGTTAAATAAATAACATGAAAATTTATAGAGAACTTGTATCTATACTAAAATGTTCAAATAAATTAAAATTTAACTTTCAAGTGTTTATTAAAGTAAAAGACACACTTTCCCATCTTACCATGACTAGTATAAAGTTTATTCTCAAAAAAAATTTATTTAAAATATTGAACTTATTTTTAAATTTATAAATCTGTAAACAGTTCAAAACTTATTTAATTTTAATACATAACTAAAAGACTATATATTTTACTCTGTTGTTTCTTTTTTTTTTTTCGTAACACTACATAATTTTGCTCTATGATTAGTCAAAATATCACAAAACGTAATTAGTTGAGGCTATTGACGTTTTAAGAAAAAATTTCACTTAATCCCTGTAATAAAAGGAAATATCCAAAAATTTTACAGTTACTATAAAACAGTCAATGTTTATATTTTTAGATTTCACTTTATATTGAAATAACTTTTTAAAAACTCAGAGGATTATTGCAAACATTTTATTAATAATATTTCAAATATTTGCCGTACTAGAGACATACTCTTTTCGAAAATCCAATGTATTATGAGAGCTTGAAAATCATATAAAAATATTTTTCTTTTCCATTTTTTAGTAATGTACCAAAAAGTATGTCTACTTTATATCTGCATCAAATAAAATATAATAAAATTTACTTTGAGATACTAATAGAAAAACTATCTGAAACCTCGATTTCTAAGAGCTATCAGGCATAAAAGCCAAAAATCATACAATATTTGGTAAAAATAGCCAATTTTGAAGTGTTCAACATAGTAACAGATTAGTCACTTCATTCTATATTATTTCCAATTAATACTTGTTTAATATAATATATCATCATCACCATGGCTTCTTCCTCAAACATTAGGGTTCGGCTCTGCCTTAATAATTTGATGGTATTTTATACCGCCTGTCAACAACCTCATTATGATGACTGAGAGAGATAGTTTAGGGACTAGGTGTGTATCACTGAAAAGTTCCCTTATGTTTAATGTAATACATGACTAAAAAACACTTGCCCTTTGTAGTAATTTGACATTTAAGTCAAAATTTATAAAATTTTTGGTAAATTTCATATACTTTTTTTAATTTGTTTCAAGTACACATCAAATAATTTTACAACAATTATTTAAATCATTTTGCCATGTAATACTTCAGTTAAACTAAGTAATATATTAATTTATTCATGTTTTAATTAAATATTATTATTTTCAGACCCATCTCCAATTAATCGTAGTCAAACAAATGCAACACCACAATATTCCCAGTCACCTCATGTACCTTATAATAATCTACAAACGTCTGCATACAATACTGTAAAAATAAATATTAATTCCAAAATTTATGGTAACTATTTTTAAAATTTTTTTTTTTTTTCAAATTTAGCCATATACGCCGTCTGGTCAGACTCCTTATTTGGGAAACTACACTACTCCAAGATATGGAACTAATCAAACACCAGTTCATGATGGTGTATTCTTACATCCAAGTTCTCTTACTCCTGTTGTACAAAGTAGTCCTAGAACATCTACCACACCTTCAAGACAACCTGTACAATCTGCAGATCCTAATGATTGGCGACGAATGGCAGAAGAATGGGCTAAAGCTAAACAACGTGGTGATGGTGGTTATTCTACACCTATGTCTGATGGAGGGCGGCATACTCCTCGTAATAGGTAAATCAAAATTTAGCTAAAACTTAGAAAACTATAAAAAAATATTACATAGTTTTAAACTTAAATTTTTTTTGTAAAAAGTCAAAATATCTAAAGTTATAACGTCTATGGATAAAATTTTCAGTTTTAAATATTATGTCTAAAATAAAAAAAAGCCAATAAATAAGACAGGACAAAAAATCCAATGTATAAAATATTGAACATAATAAAAGTTATTAATAATTTAATTTAATTTAATACATGTATAAATAAATATAATAGAAAAAAAATCAAGGAATCAAAATATAGAATGAAATGAAATGTTTTAATATAATATTCTTTTGTTTTTTCTTATAATATTGCTAACAAAAATTCAAATATACTTACTCGCCTTCTGTCACATTACATACTTTTTTTAGTTATTTTTGCAGGAATTTAATTTTTTTCTTTGGAACATGCCTCATTCAGATTAAAAATTTTTCTTTCCATTAATTTTAGACTTCTTCAGAAGTCACTGACACTTTGTAAAAATGTATGTGCTATAGTGATTATTGTTATATTACGCCAATCTGGCTCTATAATATGCTATTTTAACAAATTCAGATTATTTTTATTTTCTGTCACCTTATTCTCTGTTTAACTGTCTTGTGACAGTGTGCGACTTTTTATGTTATAATCTAATTTTGATTCACCATTTACAAATATTTCATTAGATTATTTATTAACATTTTTTGCAATTTCTATGGTATATTAAATGTGTATGTGTAAATCAGTTTTTTTTAAAGTTGTTTTAATTATAGAAAAACATTTAAGTGAACTAAATTTTGGACAGCGCCAACTAATGCGAGTTTGCCAAGTGTATTTTTTATGTATATATACCCTTCAAAGTATAATTTTTCTAAACCTTTATTAGGTTTAATAATTGAATAAACATAATCACTGCACAACAAACACCAGCTGACTGAAAACCATGGATTAATTTACAGTTACTTTATAACAATTTATATGATTAATGTTTTTTGTACTAACCATTTCTTATTATTATTTATTATTAATGTTTGATTTAGTATTATTACAGTTAATATAGATATAAAAATGACAAAAATTCTCTATGTACTTTTATTTAATTTTAATGTTTTATCCATTGGTCGTCTTGTTGTGTCTTATTTATTTTTTGGCTAAAAAAACCAAACAAACAAAATTGGACGTTTTATCCGTGGACACTATATCTTTGGATGTTTTAATCTAATACCCATATTATGATTATTTTTTTTATACATATATAATTATATAAAGTTGATAATACTTATTCAACAAATGATATTTTTATTTTAGGTATAACAATCATCGTTATAATATGAATAGAGAAAGAGCCATGAGTACTCCTCGGAGTGATGCTCCATCACCAACACCTAGTGCTTCTTCATTTGGATATCAATCTCCAGCCCCAACATCAAGAGCTTACAAAAGTAGTCACACTAATTCTACTAAATCTCCACGTGGGCCTCCATCCAATTCTGGTACACCATATGATCCATTTTCAATGGATCCTGGAAAAGACTCACCTGGAGTACATGCATCATCATCTCGATCAGGGCGTCATGATGAAAAAACTTCTGATATGCGATTTGCATCACCTGGAAATAGATGGACTCCTAGGTCTGGGCGCTCAACTCCTCATACAATTAATAGTCCTAGATCGATGATTGAATCTACAATGGGCGATAATACACCCTTATATGATGACTCCTAAAAAATTTATAACAACCCCAATTTTTACTATCATATTTTTTTTTTTTAGTTCAGTTTCCTTTTTTAAACATATGTATATTTTTAAGATATATAGTTTTGATTTTCATTGATTTACATCATATTTGGTACTCAGAGTTAAGTATATTAAGTAAATTTAAGTAGCACTGTTGAACATTGTTATGATATAAATTATAAAATATTTGTATTAGCTAGACTTTTTATATTACCATTTAAACTGACATTAATAGGTAACTATGTTGGAGTAATCCAGTTCTCATTTGATTCCTTATTTGAGACTAAGATAATAAATCTTTATATATTAATTGGTAATTATTATTGTTTTTACCTATCATACATAGTAAATATTTTTCAAATAAAACTTCTTTTTGTGTTTAAGGTACAATTTTGACAAGTGTTTCTAGTTTTTTACTTTATCATATCAAGATATATTTTTGAAGGAATAGTAAAAGAATTACTTATGTATACAACCCCCTAAGGACAAAACTCTGTAAACACCACTGTGTTATCATAAAAGTTGAAAATTAAAATATTTATTATCTTGAGTTTTAACTCGACATATGGTTGTGATTGAAATAGTAACAGTTAGAAATAACAAATATATTAAAATAGACATATTATTTGTTATTTGATTCTGTTTTTGCTTGTTAAAGTTTAGTGATTTTTGACTAATTTTCTGTTGATAATGTCTTGTTTATCAAACAGTAGATGTTATTTCTTCATGTTGTTACATAAAAAAGTTTTTATTAATAATTCTTGTTACCGTAACTGTAACATAAGGACAAGATTCAATACCCATAAAATTTATAGTCCATTGAAATAAATTATTGTTATTTCCAGTATTATTAAAACTATATTAATGATGAATTTATATTTTAAATACGAATCTATAAAGTTTTAAAATGCAAAAGGTTGACGAGTAAAAAAATGAATAGAACAAATAAATAATAAAAATATATATAACAAACAGAAATACTTTCGTTAATATTATAATACAAGTTATAATATCGATCACTAGGCTGTAGTCTTTACTTAATAATTGACAACATTAGACTATTAAAATACAAAATAACTCATGCCTTCGGCAGGCTCATTCACATGCGGAAACGCGTATCAATGAAATATTGTAATATACAGTAATTTTATAAAGCTTATAGTGGTCATCACTACACACCGTACAACAACTCAGTGGGTATGATTGTGGTCCATTCTCGTTGGGATTATCAGAGAGAATGTCCAGAGATAACACCATAACTAACCCTACCTTACAATAGATTCAGACATAAATATGAAATAGCAGCCAGCCATTATTATAAAGAATTCATTTTAACATATATATAATCTTTTACTAATTTTGATAATTTACATCAACCGATTATGACCTTACACATTTAACCAACTTTGATAATCATACACAAATTTTGACTTTTATCGACAATAATTTATGTCTATCGATTAAAGTATGTAAAATTCACCTTTAATTAATTAAGTTATTTTTGTTGCTATTACCGTACACACAATTTAAACAGCTATAATTAAATTACCTAGCTACTTCGGACAATTTTTTGACTTACTTTTGAAAATTTGTGAAAAACTATGAATTTAAAAAAAAAGTTGAACTTGAACAAATTTTGATGACAATTTTAATTTTAATAACATTTAAGATTTATTAAATCTAGTTTAAACATGAATGTTTTCCATAAATGTCAATAATTATACAATAGTACTCTATTTAGGTACCCAGACAACAATTTAAAAAAATAATATAAAAACATTAGATGTTATGACGTTATAAAATATTATTATAACATTTTATTTTTTAAATGCTTTCTGNGGCTCCAACAGTGACATCTTCACTTTTAAGAATATATAAATTTTATTCTAGTTACGCCTGTGGTATCTTAATATAATTTTTGTTAGAGACTAGCAAATATTAAGAACAATTATTTATAAAAAATCTAAATTTCTATATTATCATCATTTAAACGATGAATTCCTATATCTTTTACCCTGTCCATCAAGTATTTTAAATTGAGATAGTGATGGGACAAAATAATTTAAAATCTGTTTGATTTTTTTTTTCGCCTCGATGCCAACTATTTGCAAGGCAAAACAGGTCTCACTAAAAACTAATAGATTATTGTTAAGGTGATTGTCGTAGATAGCTGCACAAAAAGATATAAAAAAAACTTTATTCCTCTATTCTCGAACGAAAAGAATCAATTTACAATTAGCTAAAATTTAAATAATTAATTCCTCAACAATTTCAATTATATCCAATGTTTTAATTTAACTAAGTACCAACTATATTCATTTTACTAGGTATGATTATTATAGATTTATATTATTATTATAGATAACATAAAAAAACTACTTTAACATTTAATAAGCGGTAGAATTCGAAAGAATATCATAATATAATCTTATGATATTTTATTATAATTACATATTCATTTTGTTTTATACTATGTGCGCTTTATAATCTTTATCAATGAAAATAATATGTAACGCATAGCCATAGTTGTAAAAAATACTTTTAAAAAGTATTTTAAATAATACTCAAATATTTTTAAAAAAATGTATTTAAAATACTATTTGAATACTTTTCATACAAAAGTATTTGAGTATTACTCAATTACTTTACAAAAGTATTTCAAATACTATAAATACAATTAAAAAATAATAATAATGCTTTTATTTTAACTAAGAGTAAATGGTTCCACCTAAATAATTACCAAGAGGGTTATTTGAGTCAAATATTGAGTACTCTTAAATTAAGAAAACTCATTTATTATTTTCGATATTTTTAGTTAGAGGTAAATAAAATTGATTATTGGAGACTAATCGGTGACAATATTATTGTCAATAGAGTAAATTTTTATTGACAATAGAGTAAATCATTTGAACCTGCAATAGGCTACTGTAGGTTCAACTGATGTATTAAAAATAGATATATACATAATAGCATTTATATAAGCACAATAATTATGTTATACTATAATGTAACATATAAAATAACAGAGAATTATTCTCAATTTTCATTTTGACTGAGTTTAATTTGCTTGCTGTGTTACGGTTAGCAAATTAAAAAAAAAAAGTATATTAATAGTACTGAATATTAAACAGTATTAAATACTAAATAATTGTATTTAAAATACTACTCAGATACTTTTTATTAAATGTATTTAAAAATACTATTCAATACCAATGAAAGTATTTGAATACTTTTATTCAAATACATTTACTCAAATGCTTTACGCCTTTGCGCATAGCATAATAGTCAATAGTAGAATGATATGGCGCTCCAAAATAATATTAGGCGGTCGTACAGGTAATTGAAGATTTCGGTTGTAAAACATCTATCTAAAAACGCATTTTCTCGTTCATATCGTAGTTTCGTTTGCCCGTATGGCGTTCTCTTAAGGTTTAACACTACTTTTGCGTTCTGTATAAAAATATGACCGAAATAAATAGACCATTAGGAGCGCTGATTGTCCTTAGAAAGCTAAAAATCTATCTATTGTGAGTTAAATAGAATTCAATTATAATTTTTTATACAAATGATGGATATTTTGAACGATTAGTAAAAGGTATATTGTAAGAAATATGTTTTTAGATAATTTAGAAACAAATTAGTTATAATGTAAATATTTTCTTTTTTTTATTTGTGAAATAACAAAGAGTCATATCAGTTATTTTTATCATCCACTTAGCCAATTATTATGAATAATTCTACGTTTACATTTAAATTGATTATAAATATTTAATGTTAGTTATTTATAGACAAATATTAATTTTATTTTATTAATAGTCTTTTAACATATAAAGCAGTTATATCGCTGTTTTAAAGAGTTTTTTTGAGAAAATAACAGTAACTATTATTTTAAAAGTAACAATAACAGTTTGTAACAGTTATTAAGATTGAAAACAAGTTTCCATCACTAATTTGAGAGCTAGTTTTAACTTTTTATTTATTTAGCTTTAACATAGTTATTTATTAGTAGAAAAAATTAAACAACAGTGTTTCAATGCGTAACAGTGCTGCCATATCGAATGAAATATTATTTATCATTACTTCTAGTTGATAAAAGATAATGAAATACATCAACAACTTGTTTTGTGAGGCAAAATTTTATATTTTAAATGTTTAGTAAGAATTGGCGTAATTTATGCTACACATGTTAACTTTATCCTTAAAAATCTATATCTAAAAAAATAATAAAATGACATCAGCATTATACCTTGAACATTACCTAGACAGTAAGTTTCGATTTTATCCTTCAATATATATATATATATATATATATTTACAAATATATTATGTATAATGTATTATACTTAGGTTTAGAAAATCTTCCAATGGAGTTAAAACGTAACTTTACTTTAATGAGAGATCTAGATTCTAGAGCACAAGAATTAATGAGGAACATTGATAAATTAGCAGATGATTATATGTCTAATGTCAAAGGATATTCCTCTGAAAAGAAAAATGAAACAATGTCTAGTATACAACGTCAGTTTGACAAAGCAAAAGAATATGGAGATGATAAAGTTCAGTTAGCAATACAAACTTATGAGTTGGTATGTTATAACATAGGTTATGTATAGCATAACCGTTATAGTCCGTTTTTAACATATATTAGTAACATTTTGAGTAAAACTTGTTAGTAGAAAAAAATTTTGTTTTAATGTAAACTAAAAAATATGCATGAAATCATCTTTAATATATAACAATTATTTTTTTGTGCACTTTAGTATAATATATCACTTTTATGTAATCTAGTAGCTCAAGTATTTAATTTTTATTTCTTAAATTTATACATATTTTTTACACGAATATAAGTTTCAGTATAACTATAGAATTAACTCTTATAAGACAAAAATTTATGTTATTGTTATAATTGTTGAATGTAATTCAAATGTACAAGAGTTAAATGTAATGATTTATGTATATTTTCCTTAAAATTGATAAATATTTTAATTTCATAGGTTGACAAGCATATTAGAAAATTAGATTCTGATCTGGCACGATTTGAAGCAGAGATTCAAGATAAAGCTATTAGTGCAACAAGAAACGTTGAAGAGTGCTCACAAAAAAGTACATTTGATGATTACAAATTTATATTAATTTTATTATTATATTAATAAAATATATTTTATCAATTATTTAATTATATTATTGTTTTGTAGTGAACCATGATAACTGATATTACATTAAAAAAAAATTTCTCATTTAGATTTATCTTTTTTGAAGTTAATTAAATTTTAACAATAATATTAATAGATTAAATTTGTTTAGTAATAATTAGGTCATTTTTTAGAAAACCATTTATTGAATAAATTGACACAAAATGTAAATTTTATAATCAATTGGTTTAGGATGAAGTGAAGTTATTGTAAACGATTTTAATAATTGTAAATATATTTTTTTAGATAAATGCATGTTTTTATTTTGAATGTTCATGTAATATGATAAAACACATAAAAGACCACAACTTTTCAATCTAAAATAATATCTGCTGAATATTATCAGAGAAAAGATGAATATAAAATTACCTCATTTATTTACATTTACACCCCACTTCATCCTTTTATTGCTATTATTAGTTATTATACAAGCTGATATTGTTTATCTTTTATCTAGATTTCATTAGTTTCAAAAAAATTTTCTTTTTTAAATCTAAATTTAATTAACTATTCCTTTATTTCTAATAGGAGGTCGTAAAAAAATTAAAGATAAAGAAATAAAAAAAAAAAGTGCATCCAGTGAAGAAGAATCAACTATTAAAGCATCCAAAAAGAAGCAATTGAAAAAAAGTATTATGAAAACTATCTAATTTTATAACAATAGGCATCATTTATTGGTTTTATTTCAGGTGGTGTTAAGATACTAAATTCAGTGCCTAATAAAACTCCGTCAATTAGTGCAGTTACCAATCCTGCAAATACTGTTAATAGTGTTGCTAGTGTAACAACTGAAGCCAGTACATTGGTTGGTGCTTTAACTGGTGCTGGAGTTGCACATTCTGCTGAAGTCTTAGATATGCCAGTTGACCCTAATGAACCAACTTATTGTTTATGTAATCAAGTATCTTACGGTGAAATGATTGGATGTGATAACCCAGATGTAAGAAAATATAAATATACATTATTAGAACAAAAATTCTTAATAAAATATATGTTTTTTTCAGTGTCCAATTGAATGGTTCCACTTTGCTTGTGTAAAGTTAACTACAAAACCAAAGGGTAAATGGTTTTGTCCAAAATGTATTACTGACCGTAAAAAGAAATAGTAACAAAAATTATAAATATTTTGCAATTTTTATAAAATTTTTAATAAATTTAAAAAATATTAATTCAGTTGATTCTTTACAGTGTATGTTCATTTTAATTATGTTCAAAGATAAAATAACTGTAACTGTACAATATATAAATTTTTTTTTTTTTTTTTAACTGTACTATATTTATCTTTAAATATTTATTAGTATCTACTGCCATTAAAAAAATAAAATTATATACTAATTTTCAAATTATTTCTTAATGTTGTTTCATTTTTAATTATAATCTGTTAAACGAATAAATGAGTATAAATTTAAAAATTAAGGAGATAAAATTGAATTCCTCAGGCAACATTTAGATGGTAGTACTGTCCAATTATACTCATATGAATTAAATTTTTTATATTCATTTTCACACATTTTACCAGTATTTTGTATTCTTGACCAGTATAATCTCATGACTCCAGGACTTTGCTTGTGTGTAATTAAATACTTATTATTGCAACCACGACTTTTAAATTCTGTATCAAATCGACGATCATGTTTTCTTGTAATATTTAATGGAGCCAACCAGGCTCCAACAGTGACATCTTCACTGATAAACAAACTAAAAATTATAAGTACAACATTTTTACAAAAAAATTAGAAAATGTAATCTTTTTTCTTAATTTAAAATAATAATAGTATTGAAAGAAAGTACTAATTGGCTTTAGATTTAGTGTTCTTCAAAAATATTAACATACTTTATTGAACATTTTTAAAGCTATGAAACTTATTACAACCTTCTAAAAGAATCAATTCACTAAAAATTTTTTATCAAATGTTAAATTATACCATTTTTATATAGAATATTGACTTAAATTAATAATATTGATGTTATAACGAATTATCAATATTTCCAAATAACTATTTAACAATAATTAAAGTAAAAATAATGAAGTGATTAAAAGAAATACAACATTCAACTTGTGTTTATAAAAGTTGTCTAATATAAATATGAATATGTTATTTTAATTTTGTAAATTAATTTAATTGATGTACCTTAAATAATTCTGATTTTTAATGATATAGCTAACTAAATCTTTTGATATAACATATCCACCACCTAAGGCATATGGAAGATATTTATCACATAATATCCATTCACTTTCTTTCCATTTGCCAGATTTTTTAACATTTGCAATACCATTAAAATATCCCCAATACAGTTTTTTTTTTGGCAATTTGTTTAATTCTTGAACAATTCCAGTTAAATCCACAAATGAATCATCATCACATTTTAACAAATATTGAAAATCAAGATTATCAATATGTTTTAATGCTTCTAATAACTTAATACTAAGTGAATTGTATGTTTCAGGAACATTTACTTCTAAAATATCATTGTAAATTGATTTCTCATTTTCCAGCATGTTTTTTAAAGATATATTATGTTGGTTTTTAGAGAGTATAAATAATACTCTGATATTTTCTTTCGTTTGTGCCCAAGTCTCACGAATGGCAATTCGTTTATCATGATTTTCAAAAGCTGAAATAACAATTACAAGTACTCTGTAATTAGGTCTACCAGGTGAGGTGTTTAATTTTAATGTGTTGGCATGTAAAAGTAACAATGTAAAAGTACATCCTAAAATGAATGACAAACTTAGCAGCATATAATAATTAAAATATTTGCGATTTGATACCATTGGTCATAGTTAAAAATTGAAGAAACTCTCACGAAATTAGTTACTTTTTCTGTACATTGAGAAAAAAACACTTAGGAAGAAAAGAAAATATAATACTCATTTTCCTTAAAGTTTCAAAATTAAATATATAGCAATAATTTATGCTGTACGTAACACCAAAATAATTATATATATAATGCAATTTTGAATTGTGAATTTTTTATTTATTAAATGTTCAGATTAAATTACTGTTATCACGATATGAGGATACTATAATAGATAATATATATATACTAGAAAATATCTAATGGCTACACTGACTTTTGATACAATTTTTAATATATCATAAGGTTGATAGCAATTGGGTGGAATTAGTTTAATTGTGACTCAAATATATTCAATAAAAAAATTACTTTAATTGAAAACCATAGTTGTAAGGTTTGGATAAAAGTGTATTCCTAGTTTATTAAACAATAATTCTGGATCCTAAATATGGCCATGTGGACAACTTTTACCAACACAGGTATTACAATTTAATTTCTAAGATGACATTAGGAAATTTCTTTCCAAATCATTATTTGAGAACTAATTTGTAATCTCTATTGTTTGCCAATATTAATATATATTCATTCTAAATTTTTTAAAGTTTTTTTAATTAGTTTATTGAAAGCTGCAAAAAAATAAAAATAGCTTGCTATTTTTTTATTTTTAGTTAAAATTTGTATTATTTTTAAGGCGCCTCGGATCCTAGTAGAGAGTCAGGTTTAGGAAGTGATTCAGATAATATGGCTGAACTAGCACAATTATTGCAAGCGGACATTCCAGAAGGTCGTAATAGCTTATCTGATAGTCATGTGAATTTAGAACGTGTGGCAGAATATTGTGAGGGAAATTATTTTCAAGCTGAAAATAAAAGAATAGCACTAGAAGAAACAAAAAATTATACTACTCAGTCTTTAGCTAGTGTAGCTTATCAAATTAATACACTTGCATTTAATTTTTTGCAATTACTCGATCTCCAAACTGTTCAGCTGTCTGAAATGGAAAGCCAAATAAATCACATTGCTCAAGTAAATAAATATTGTATAGTTATAATATTAGGCTATGTATAGAAAGGTTAATTACTATTAAAAACACTTAATATGTTTCAGTTTAAATACAAATATTTTGATTATATTAGTGAAAATACAATATAAATTGTTCATTTTATATTATATTTACATATGGTAAAATAAGTGAAATTATGATATAATGGTATTCCTCTTGTAATAAAAAGTTTTAATGAATTTATATTTACATAGGATATATTATAATTCATTAGTAAGTTTATAAATGGTTGGGTTTAATAACTTCAAAGATTTTAAATTAATTTATATAATAGTTAAATTCTAAGCTTATTGAAAACAAAATTTGTGTGCTATTAGTATCAGTAATGTTTAATAACATTATCGTATGTGTTATATTTAACAATATTATGTTGAAAAATATTAAATACATTTTAATGTAGTCACAGATTAGATCAAATTTTATTTAATTAAAATTAATTTTACTCTTGAAAATATATAACTCTTAATTTTAATGACATTTTAATATTTAGAATGTAATGATACATAAAGAAAAAGTAGCTAGAAGAGAAATTGGTGTGTTAACAGCTAACAAAACTACTAATCGTCAATATAAAATTATTGCACCAGCTAATCCTGAAAAACCTATTAAATATGTTAGAAAACCTATTGATTTTACAGGTATTTTTTTATTTGTTTTCTAAATTTTGCATCTAATACAAATGTTCAATTTGATATTTATTTTAGAAAATAAATAAAAAAAATTTTGTTCAAATCTCCACTATCATTTATATTTATTTAGCACTTGATGATATTGGTCATGGTATTCGTAATACCCCACGACAAACACGCCAACTAATTTCAAACAATTCAAATCCATCCATAAATATGTCAACTGTAGGTCCAGCTCCTACTATAAAACCACCTACACCACCAGCAGTTATACGAAGTACAGGAACATTAAGTAAAAATTCTCGTGAGTATCGCACACCACCAGCTGTTGCCCCTCCTCAAGTTCCAAGTCATTATGCACCTAATTACCCTATTGGTCATTCAAAACGTGAGAAAGGTCCTGGGTATAATTCTTTACCAATGCACCATACATCTTCTAATAATATTCAACCAGCTCCAATAGTTGGAATGGTACATCCTATGCAACAATCAGAACAGCCTTCTTCACTGAACTCAATGCCTCGTAAGAAAATAAATGAAATAAATTTTTTTTTATATTAATGAATAACTATTTTTTTTTAGCTCCTCCTTCACCTCATACTCTAAATAATTCAAGGATAGGAGTTGGTCCAGATTTATTAGATAACCATCTACATCAAAATCCTACTTTTGGTTCGTCAAACGATCATTATAGGTCCAACAATACTCAACAATTAGCAAACGATCATTATCACTCAAATGCATCACAGCAATCAACAACAGATCATTACCGTTCAAACATGTCTCAACAGTCTTCTACAGATCATTATCGTTCTAATACATCTCAACAATCTTCTACTGACCATTATCGTTCAAACTTATTGCAACAATCATCCTCTGACCATTATCGTGCTAATATGTCTCAACAGTCATCCACAGATCATTATCGAGCTAATACTTCTCTACCTGGAATATTAAAAAACACTTCACAATATCATTCTTCATCTACAGTTACTGCAACCCAACAAAATACAAGACAAGGATCAATATCTCCTCCATTGCCACCACCTCCTGAAGATCACTTTGGTCATATGGCTACTAGTGCAATTGTGCCTCAAGAACCAGATCTTCCTGGATGGGTTCCAAAAAATTATTTAGAGAAAGGTATCAATTACTATTATTATTTTTTATAAACAAATTTTGATTTAGAACTTTGGCAAACAGACCATTAAATTAAAAGAGTTATAGCTTTTAATATAAAAACCATATTTTATTAATTAAATTTTAATATTTTAGTCATTGCAATTTACGATTATTATGCTGACAAAGATGATGAATTAAGTTTTCAAGAAAATGCAGTGATTTATGTTTTGAAGAAAAATGATGATGGTTGGTGGGAAGGTGTTATGGATGGTATCACAGGTCTATTTCCTGGTAACTATGTTGAAGGATGCATGTAAAAATTTAATTATTAAGTAAGATTTTTTTAATTAAGTATTATTATTATTATTATTATTACTTAAAATAATGTTAAGTTACTAAAATAACAAATATTTTGTTATTTTGTGTTGACAATTTATTCAATCAACTACAATGTATAAAAATTAAATAAACTATAATTTGTTAGTAATTAAAATACTAAACATTTAATTTGATGTTTTGAGATATTATAATTGATCTTAAAATTAACTTAACAATGTAAAAAAATATTTTAAAAGTTTTTCTATTTATTTCAAATTGTTAATACTATAATTCTTAATATAAGTATAATTATTTTTACTATTATTTAGTTAGAATTTATTTTTATACACATTATTTTATTATAAAATTTGAATTATGTAAATTTTTAATATTTATATCTTGTTTTATCTTAAAAGT